TAGCCGAGAGGTGACGTAGGTGATCACTTCATTAAATGAATGGAGTTAGAACACTTGTACCTAGGTGATCACCTCACCAAATGAATGAGTTACAGCTGAGAGCTCTGGTTGTACCTAGGTGATCACCAAATGAATGAGAGTTAGAGCACTTGCTGTACTAGGTGACCACTTCACTAAACAAAAGTTAGAACATTTGTTGTAATGTGAGTCAGAGCTGAGAGCTGTGGTTGTACCTGTGTGCTCACAGTGTGTGAGTTCAGAGCTGAGAGCTCTGGTTGTACCTGTGTGCTCACAGTGCTGTGAGTCAGACCTGAGTGCTCTGGTTGTACCTGTGTGCTCACAGTGCTGTGAGTTCAGAGCTGAGTGCTCTGGTTGTACCTGTGTGCTCACAGTGCTGTGAGTCAGACCTGAGTGCTCTGGTTGTACCTGTGTGCTCACAGTGCTGTGAGTTCAGAGCTGAGTGCTCTGGTTGTACCTGTGTGCTCACAGTGCTGTGAGTTCAGAGCTGAGTGCTCTGGTTGTACCTGTGTGCTCACAGTGCTGTGAGTCAGAGCTGAGTGCTCTGGTTGTACCTGTGTGCTCACAGTGCTGTGAGTTCAGAGCTGAGTGCTCTGGTTGTACCTGTGTGCTCACAGTGCTGTGAGTCAGACCTGAGTGCTCTGGTTGTACCTGTGTGCTCACAGTGCTGTGAGTTCAGAGCTGAGAGCTCTGGTTGTACCTGTGTGCTCACAGTGCTGTGAGTTCAGAGCTGAGTGCTCTGGTTGTACCTGTGTGCTCACAGTGCTGTGAGTCAGACCTGAGTGCTCTGGTTGTACCTGTGTGCTCACAGTGCTGTGAGTTCAGAGCTGAGTGCTCTGGTTGTACCTGTGTGCTCACAGTGCTGTGAGTCAGACCTGAGTGCTCTGGTTGTACCTGTGTGCTCACAGTGCTGTGAGTTCAGAGCTGAGAGCTCTGGTTGTACCTGTGTGCTCACAGTGCTGTGAGTTCAGTGCTGAGAGCTGTGGTTTTACCTGTGTGCTCACAGTGCTGTGAGTTCAGAGCTGAGTGCTCTGGTTGTACCTGTGTGCTCACAGTGCTGTGAGTTCGGACCTGAGTGCTCTGGTTGTACCTGTGTGCTCACAGTGCTGTGAGTTCGGACCTGAGTGCTCTGGTTGTACCTGTGTGCTCACAGTGCTGTGAGTTCAGAGCTGAGTGCTCTGGTTGTACCTGTGTGCTCACAGTGCTGTGAGTTCAGAGCTGAGAGCTCTGGTTGTACCTGTGTGCTCACAGTGCTGTGAGTTCAGAGCTGAGTGCTCTGGTTGTACCTGTGTGCTCACAGTGCTGTGAGTCAGACCTGAGTGCTCTGGTTGTACCTGTGTGCTCAGTGCTGTGAGTTCAGAGCTGAGAGCTGTGGTTGTACCTGTGTGCTCACAGTGCTGTGAGTCAGACCTGAGTGCTCTGGTTGTACCTGTGTGCTCACAGTGCTGTGAGTCAGACCTGAGTGCTCTGGTTGTACCTGTGTGCTCACAGTGCTGTGAGTTCAGAGCTGAGAGCTGTGGTTGTACCTGTGTGCTCACAGTGCTGTGAGTTCAGAGCTGAGAGCTGTGGTTGTCCTCGTTGTGTTGGACGCTCAGGCGGAGGGCCGGCTAGAGTTGTTCATTAATTTTTCTCTGACTGAACTTGCAGACATCACTGAACTCCTTCTCACACTGACAGACAGCCAGACTGAGGTGTTTAAAAACTCCAGCAGCACTATTGTGTCTGATCCACTCAGACCAGCACAACACACACTAACACACCACCACATCAGTGTTACTGCAGTGCTGAGAATGATCCACCACCCAAAGAGTACCTGCTCTGTGAGGGTCCATGGGGGTCCTGACCACTGAAGAACAGGGTAAAAGGGGGCTTACAAAGTATCAGAGAAACAGATGGACTACAGTCTGTAACTGTAGAACTACAAAGTGCACCTATATAGTAAGTGGAGCTGATAAATTGGCCAGTGAGCGTAGAAACAAGGAGGTGGTCAGAATGTTATGCCTGATCAGTATATATGGTGATAAATAAGCTTTAAGTAAATTTGCGTCACAAACAATGTTTAGTAAATCTGGCTCTAATGCTGCTGTTCACGTTGATAGTAACATATTGTTAGCGTTTAACATCATCTGAAAAAACGATGTATAAAAGCTCACCTACTGCAGCGAAACAGCCGCCATACATGAGCATCGCACCTCTGACAAAAAGAGAGCACTTTGCTTATACTTTCATTTTAGCATGGCTTGCCTGTTAGCTCACTGAGGCCAACCTAACCAAGTTTGAGTGTGAGCCTGTTGGATAATCTGCTCCTCGCTGTCCCCTCCTTACCTTCTTCCGCAAGCGGCCACTTGGGTACATAGGGGTGATGCCCATCTGAGTGGAGAGTCAAAGTGGACAATTGCAGGTTCAAAAAAAGCCATTGAAACTGGGCCACACACTATAACCTGTGTTGAATCCAAATGAATGCTTCTAGCAAATCTCAGCATGCTGACCTCTCCAGTGGACAGAGATGAACAGGTGCAGTGTATGGATGGGCATTGAGAAGCACTCCTCTTAACTGGCTCTGCAGAAAACAGCCCCTGAGCTCAGGGTGTTAAAAGAAAGAACGAAATAATCACAGAACGTGATGCTTCTGGAGCTTCTCTAGTGGTTTGAAACCTGTCTGAAACCAGTTGCTGTAAGTGGTCTCATTAAAAGAGAAAGTACTCAGACATTAAGAGCTTCAAAGGCAGGTACAGAGTTTTCAGTGACAGGTTCTGTCTGCATTCACAGCCTGTCTGTTTTATGTATAAACTTTAGGTTTAATGGGCTGCTCAGGCTGCTAATGATGGTTCGCTGGGGGGAATACTAATGTGCTCAAGTTCGGCCTTTTGAAGGTCTGATTCTGTTGAGAGGGAAAAATTGGACAGGTGTAGGATACGTATAAAAAATAAATTAGGTTTGACTGCTTGTCTAAACACAGCCCGGGTGGCTTAGATCAAAAGCACCTGCAGGATTCGTGTTCAGTTTGTGCTGGTGTCAGACAGTCAGTGTGTAAATATGAATTACAAATACTGCACTTCAGACGTTTCATTCTACACCTAAAATATCAGCCTGGGCTTGATTTCTGTTTACTGTAACTTTATGCCTAGTTGCTAAATGGCAATGGTAAATCTCTATTGTTTTAGTTTAGGCTTAGACTTAATCTAGCTTTGGGAAATTAACAGATATATGTGTCTAGGACTCCCTAATTAACCAGTTGGACCATGTAAAAGCCTTAAAATATGAGTATTTACAGTATGGAACCCTCAGGACCTTCTAGACATTCAGAGAAGGTCTACTGAACATCATGCTTGTGTTGTCCTAATACTCTTATCTCAGTGTTAAGTTCTGGTTGAAATCAAAAGGCTTTACATTCTTAAAATGAACAGAAAATTATCCAGTGAGGATTGTTTTCATCTGTGGCAGGGTTGCCCAATCCTGGGCCTGGAGATCTGCCTCCCTGCAGAGTTTAGCTCCAACCCTGAGCCACCACACCTGGTCCAGGTAATGAAGACCTTCAGGAGCTTCTGAATATCAGAGCCAGGTGTGTGTTGGATCTGATCTCTCCAGGGTGGTAGATCTCCAGGACCAGGATTGAGCACCCCTGCTCTGTGGTATCTATGTAGATACAGCCAAGCGAGCTCCGTTGGTTAGGGCTTCAGGAGCTGAACTGAAGGCCTTACATGTCAGATTAACCACTAATATAAGTAGAAATCAACCAATCGTGTTTTGATTTCTCATGGATGGGTCCTGTTTTGTCAGCAATAATGTCAGTCTATGTGTAAGTTCTGGAAGTTCTAGATACATCACTGACTGTGAATATGAGCTGTAGCCTAACCAGGTAATGAGAAAACTGCTACAAGATAAAATATGTTAATGTCTAATATATCGCTGTTTTCAGAAGAAAACCTTGTTTCTCCATTTTTGTAGTTTTTCAGTTTTTGACATAATTTGAAAATGCCCATTGCCCTTTACAGTGTGTACAAATTTCATAATGAATGAACCAAAAGAAACGTCCCAAATTGACTTGGAAAAAAGTCTGGTTCCATTGACTTACATTAAAAGTAAAGTAGGTTTTTTCCTTCTCCTGTAAAGTTAACATTTTGGAGATACGAGGTTTTCTTCCGACAACATTGATAAGCTTCAGATAAAGCACATGGAATGTCTTTTACAAGCTTCAGATGTCTACGTTTACTCTAAAACATCCAAATCTTTCATGTGAGTCCCCTTTAGCTTTGTGCTAACATACTACTAGAATCCCATTGAGGCACTCGCCGAAATTAGCATTATCATACAGGTGTTTTTTCTCGTTTTTTTAGACTGAGTTTTGACATTTATAGCCCAAACTGAAGGACCAGCTCTAATAGTCATGGTTTTACACTTTAGTTTTAGCTCCACTTTTTGACTGTTGTCTTTATCCTTTTTAGCGCTTTCAGCATGCTGGGAGATCACAATGTTATGTATGTAGCCTTCAAATGCATACCAAAGACTTTTTGTCTACTCCTTTCTTTTAGATGCATTTCTTGAAAAACAGCTAAGCATTTCGCAGGGGAAGCTTCCCTACCCTTGGAATTGATAACTGCATAGTTAACGTGCCTGGCTTCAAACTTTGTCAGCCGTAGTAGTGTTTTTTGCCAGGGAGGAGAAGAGCAATTTTGTAATTCAAGCTGCCAAATTCTCTCCTAGAACATTTTGGATTTCCAGTTTTTGGAGTGTTGCAAACTGTACAATTTACTGCTGTTAAAGCTCGCATCATCACCACTACGGTGAGTTGGCCTGACAGCCCAGCAGCACATATGGGACCCCCGATTATTACACACTATATTTCGCACAGGATAATCTGGGAAGACAATGGTTTAAAATCCAGATACTTTTTTTTTTGACCAAGAATCTGCTTGATTATCCTGTAGAGCCGGCCACTCACTGAACTTCATCTTAGCCTCTCTGTCTTCCTTTCTCCCCAGGCTTTCTTCCAGGGTAAGCTGAAGATCACCGGGAACATGGGCATGGCCATGAAGCTCCAGAACCTGCAGTTGAAGCCGGGCAAAGCCAAGCTGTGAGGGTCCAAAACCACCACTGCCTCGCTTCACTGGGAGGCCGGGCTGGAGAATAGAGTCCGTTAGTGTGACTGAGCCAGAGGCAGAGAAACTCACTACATAGATTTATACAACTCAGAGAACAGAGTCCACCCTTCATTTATTTAACTGCTAGTCAAAACCTTCATTTTACAGCATCAGGGAGAAAACGGAAAACATCAATTTAGCAGCAAATTACACAGAAGAACTAACTAAACAACCAAATATAACAACTAACCATAACAACTAACTTAATAAGTAAATATAACATAGATTATTCAGTATTTCATGTCTCCACTCTGTACCTTTTATTAGAGCTTACGGAGGCTTGTTTCGTTTTCAGTTTCAAAGTTCAGTCCTAGAAGTTGATTGTATTTCTCTTTTCTTTAAATCAGTGACAGCTTCTTTACTGTTTATCTGATGGGGACAGTTTTGGTGGTCTACCAGGTCCAGGTGGTTGTTAGGAGTCCCAGTTTCTCTGTAGCTTTTAATCAGTTTTTGACCTCCAGTTTAGGTAACTCCTGTTTTTTTGCTTCGACTTTCTCCTTCATCACGCAAAACAGAGTATCTTCTCTCTAATCTCCTCACAAACATCACCTGATGAATGAATAACTTACGATTAAAGGCCGTTTTGACTGGAAATTAAATAAATGAAGGGTGGTCTCAGTACTGTATCTCTCTGCTCTTTGGTCCAGGACCTGTTTTCATGAACACTTTTTGAAGAGGAGTGCTGACCTCAGATTAGAGGCCTTTTCCTCTGATGAATAGCGAGGAAGCTTTTAGCTCCGCACTCCTGCTTTTAGATGTGTTCTGAACTCAGAGCCTGATCTTCTTCTAACAGGTTAATGAGGACAGTGTAGGAGTACGTTCTGAAGGCCTTTTCTGATTGGAGCTCACTGTAACTGATAGTAATAATAATATAATAATGATTGAATCCTTCTGTAGTACCATGATCACCTGCGACCTGTTTCAACTGGACTGTGTGTGTTAATGTTTGTGTGTGTTTTTGGGGTCTTTTACGTTGTTGCGAATGAATGCGGAGAGTGTAAGTGCCTGTATGTACAGTCGTATGCAAATGTTTGGACACTCCAGGGAAAATAGGTTAACACTTCCTCTGCAGTACACACTGCATATTTTAATGCACTGTTTATTTGCTGAAAGAAAAAAAGCGTAAAATGAAGTTACGGCATATTTTATGTTTTATTTTTTTCAAATTTATTAAACCTTTTCAAATTATGCACTAAAATTGGCAGAAAAAAGTCAGATTTAAGTGTGTTTTCTGTCGAGGATGTCTTAACTTTCACTCCCCAATTCAACCAAACATAAGTGGACTAGGGGGTTCAAACTTTTGCGTAAGACTATATGTGACTTCAGTGTCTGGTTACATAATTGAGACTCCACCACATACGTGCTGTACTGTAGGTACACAAAGGCAGGGACGCAGTGAATTGGCCCTATTTTAATATCAGGGTTCTGCGGTCATTTCTGTAGCATCGAGTAACATTTGTGACCTGTAAGCTGTGTTCCTGAGTGTATGTGTACACATTTCTACCCACCCAAGGCTAAAAAGATTTTTTTACTAAATAAAATTTCCTCTTTCACATTAACAAATATTTGTCAGCAGAGTGTTTGTTTATTGTTCATCCATAAGCTGAAGTGTTTGATGGGACTGTTTATGTGCATGGGCTCCTTCAAAGTTGCCATCTTAGCTCAAGAGTGTTCAACTAAAATTTGCAAAGATCCAGTTACATCATATTTCTAACAGAAGTGAGCGGCAACAACGATGACCTTTAAATGCTTAATCGCTTTAAATCCTAGGCTTATTTTATACTAAGGCTTATTATTCAGTAACTACAGGGACTTCAATGCAAACTGGTTGAGTTATTCGTAAGTTACAGAAGTGTACAGCTTTGGGCCCCATGCATACAACTAATAAAATACAGTTAGACGTCATATATATTTTGATAAATGTTTTATTTTGTGTAAACTTTTATAATATAATGATCATTTTAAAAATGTATGGCCATTGTATATTGTTTGTGCCCTGCGATGGACTGGCGACCTGTCCAGGGTGTATCCTGCCTTCCGCCCAATGACAGCTGGGATAGACTCCAGCACCCCACTGCGACCCAGAAGGATAAGCGGTTTAGATGATGGTTGGATGGATGTATATTGTTTGCGATATCTATGATATTTATCCACCGAAGAAAAAAAATGTTGAATAAATAATATAAAAAGACTAAAAAATAGATAAATAAATAGATAAATAGATAAAAATACATATAAGACTAAAAATATAGATAGATAGATAGATAGATAGATAAAATTAAATAAAAAAAAATACATAACAAGCATGTCGCACAAACACTGGACCTTGCATGTTTAGCATGCTAGCACTATAAACTGTTACGGCGACTACAGCTTGCTAGGCTGTGTTCTAGCTAATGCTACAGCTTCATCCTGAAGGCTGTAAAGGACGTTGTATGTAAAGTAATGTGGTACCTTGCCATGGCAAATGCAGTTAACCCCTTTAAATCCCAGGCTTACTGAGCCTTTTTGTTCAGTAACTACTTGGGCTATAATGCAAACTGGCTGAGTTATTATTAGGTTGTAGAATGTGCAGTAAAACATGGGACCCTTTGGTGAATCCTGGCCATTTAAGGGTTAAGTTTTGGCCTCCATAATTTGGTCTTATTTAAAATATTACAGTCAAATGGTCCTTTTGTACGTGGTTAGTTTATATTCCTGGTCATAATAAACATTGTTTACAATAAACGTGCTTCTTCCATTGCCACCTATAATGGAAAGAATACGCTCGGCTAACTCAGAGACCCTCCCTGATACCACATTTCACTCACAAATATGAGACGACACTAAAGGAAAACGTAGTATGATATCTGATCTGTGTTGACTTTAATGGAGTGTTTTTAATTTCACGAACATAATAGCGATTGAAAGGCACGATTGTAGGAAAATAAACTTAATTTCTTTTGCTTTTTCTAATGGTAAGTAGGTAGACTGGGCTACTGTAGTTTGGAACCATAGTGTTCACACACACCACTCCAGACCAGCAGGTGGTGCTGACTCACCAACGTTTGGCATTTCACCTGTATAACCTGTTAAGCTGAAAAGGACAGAGGGACTGTAAAGCTCTGTCCTTGCTAGTTCAGAAAGGTGATGTTCACTCACACTTCTACAGCTGTGTCCACTACGGTTTCAGTCAGTCCTTCCAATCTTATCTAAACGTCTTCAGTCGCTTGTATCCATTTTTTCCATCCATTTCTTCTCCTCCAGCTATTCATCTTGAATCTGATTTCTGTCAGAGGCCTGGCCAATATTTATTTACTCTGTTTTCAGAGTCTCATTTCTTTTTCAGTCTGCTCTCTGCAAGATTTCTCAAACCCGCTTGATGCCCAAAGACCGATCCATAGTCCTGTGATGAAACCCGCTGAAATCTAAGGCACTTTCAGTAGTAAAGGCTAGTTTTTTGGCCTCAAATCAAAATGCAGACATAAGCCGAGAGTCTCAGTGCTGCCTTTGTTGAGAAAGTAATGAAAAGGGGAAATACTACGTCTGATTCATGTCCAGAAACCTCATACGTTCTTCTGTAACATCTATCTGGTAGTTAGACAGGTAATGTGGAAAAGCTTAAAGCCATTCTCTATTAAGATGGCATTCTGGCCCAAAACCATAGTGGTGTTATTTGCGAGTTTGTTTCTTATTTGTATTCTCATCCACTGACTACAGTACCCAGCATGCAGTGTGTAAGCAAATAAGTCTTAAATAAATAAAATTACTGATGTAGAAGCTAATAAATACAGTAGTGATATTCCGAGCAGTAGCATTAGCTAACTTCTCCCTTAGCCAGCTAGCTGAAAAGAACTTCAAACAGCCATCAAAGCTTACCCATCCACTCCAAAGAGCTTTTTCTTTTTCAGAAGTTCCACTTACCTTCAAGATGCATCATCAGAAGGGGTTTTTCTTGACATTAAAATGGAAAATCTCATTCTCAGGACTAATTCTGGCACCAGTGTAGGAGGCAAGAAGACATGTTTGCAGGTGTAGCAGTGGTTGTATCTTTTACTTTGCACAAAGTGCCCAAAGGCACTACAATGAAATAATGACTCCAGTACAAGCAAAAGTAGCTGTCAAACAGCAACTTGACTAAAACTGAGGTCTTCCAGTACTGATTTCTCTATAGAACTGTGTAGTAGTACTGTGGGCCATGTGGTGGTACTGCTATTGATTCTGGCAAATGCTATGTTTATATTTTTAGTGCTAGTTAACAGAAAAGTTTATTGTTTTTAAATCATATGGAAAAAAAGGTTAAAGGGTTTTCAAAAGGAATGACCCTGAGGCTAGGCCATCCTCAAGTGAAGTGACCATCATGTCAAGCAGTGAGTAGAAACGTTTCTCCTTTCACATTGACATTACGTTTTGGCAAATTTGCTTTTATCCAAAGTGAAGTACAGTTTAAATCACGTTACAGAGGTATGCGAGTGTGCTCAAGGGTGTTTTTGTGGAGCATAGAATCGGACCCTAGTCTGCCATGCGGTCAGCAGCGGTGTTATCAAGTGTGCTACACCAATCCCTGCATAATAAATCAATCAAAAAAAATCATTTAAGGCAGAATACACATCATGTGCTAAGTACAGATATGGACTTTCTAAAGACAGGCCAGATATTTGTACATGAAATTTTGAACTGAGCATGATGGGCTGAAAGTTGATTACCAAAATCTTTAAAATTGACACTCCAGACACTTAATGTACATATATCAAAAGTCAACCAGCCCGTCTTTAGCATGTCAGTATCTGTATTGTACTGTATGAGGGCTTAGTGCTGACCATCACGCTGCATGTCAGGGTTCAGTTCCCTGCTTGAGCAACAACACCATACTACATTAAAAAGTGTCCCTGAGCAAAAAGCCTTGCACTACATTCACCTGCTTCAGGAACATGGTTAAAACTGAAAAGCACTCTGGATAGAAGCGTCCGCCATAAATGTGAAAGGAGAATAGTTTTGATTAATCGTACTTCTTAGGACAACAAACATTCTTTTGTTAGCTCAACTAAATATTTCTCCTAGTTCTGGCAACACAAAGTAAGTCAGAGTAACTAATTATTTACAGAAGTTGAGTAAACAAGAAAAAGCTAGTGAAAATCAAAGAGGTTTTATTTTGTTGTGCAATATTTTACATCATCACTTGGAGACTTAATATAGTGAATATGTATCTAAACCTGTAGAACTGAGCCAGAACGCCATTTGTGAGCTCTCAGTAGCTGCCAAACAAGATCAGCAATCTCATTAGCGCATCCAGCATCCATCAGCATGGGTGCTGAAGTTTGTTCTTCTCTTTTTGGAAATGTAAACCTCTAAAGTGAGAGGGGTGAGCAACAGTTAAGCAGCCCGGGAGCTGAACCAAACCAATAGAAAGAACAATTCCGCATAAGAAGAACTGGCAACCTGAAATGAATGACCAAATGGGACTGAGAAGAAAGATTCATTTTGAGTTCAAGCAAAAGTTTTAACATTTGATACTCAGGAAAGTAAAAAGCCATTAAAAATTTGCTGGAGTAAATGGAACTAGTTACTAGCAAACTGTTATTCCGAGGTTGGGGTAGTAGCTCTGGGATCATGTGGTGCTGAATTCAGCAGCCAAAACCCACTGACCTGCTTCCAGACTGCCACGCTTTGTTTTTCCCCTCAAAAAAAAGTCTGTTAACAAGCTCTGACCCACATTAGAGAGCTGACTGTTCTCGGTCTCTCTCTCTCTCTCTCTCTCTCTCTCTCTCTCTCTCTCTCTGTCTGTCTGTCTCTCACGTCTCTGATTTCAGCCACTGCTGTTGTTTATCCTGTTAACTTCTCTGTGGGATCCATTTATTGACATTTCATATCGGAGGCCTTGGTTTGTATCTCAGGGTCAGACGCTTTGTTTGTCCATTTCCCACCACACAGAAAACTTTTGTTATGAAAGGCGGGTCAAAACTAGTTTTGAATTTCTAAAAACAAAGTGAATGAAAAAGTAAACATGCGTTGGAGTGTGTAACACAAGCCCAGCTGTTTGGATGTTTTAAAGTCCCAGGAAACACGGTGTAAATTATTAAAAATATTTGTATGAAGTGTTACATTAAACATCCAGCAACGTTTGAATGAACATCCGTCTGTCCAGCACTTCCAGCTTGCTAAGCCCCTTAAGCAGAACTAAACACATCAGCGTGAGTGAGAAATTAGTGAAATGGGATCTAAAACACAAGTAATGTTGTTGACCCTGCGCCATTCTTGACTCACTAAAAACATTATCTGTTTTTTATATGGTGACGTCTTAAGGCTTTTATTCACTTTACTGTTGGATGTGTATGCAGGGAATGCTGAAGTGACCTGCTGAACAAACAAATAGATGGACAGATGAGCTAGCTTGAAAGATCAGTTGTATTTTATAGGTTAGCTTTTGCTTGGTTGTTAGCTTTCTCTGACTCCTTGGGTGGGGGGCATAGTTTTGTTAACCCCTTAAAATCCCAGGCTTGTTATTCAGCAACTACAGGGACCTCAATGCAAACTGGCTGAGCTATTATTAGGTTATAGAAGAGTGTAATAAAACTTTGGG